GCTTTTTTTCATGCTCAGCCTTATTTAACTTTTGTATTTCTATTTCTTCTGTTCTACAAAATGGAAGTAATAATGAAAAATATTTAAAAAATTATAGATATATATTAATAATTAAAATATTATTATAAATACTTATTAATTCTAAGTCACTAATAATTTTGAATTTAATAAAATAAATATATATAATAATAAAATAAATTATCGTTTGATTTTAATCTCTTTGACTAAATATTTTTCCATTTTATTAATATTTTTAAATAATATGTTGAAAAATTGATATTCAAATAATATTTGTAAAATTTTGATTTGGGGGAGGGGGGGATTTCCCCTTCCTCCCCCTAGTTACGCGCCTGCTAAATTAATATTATGTGTTATAATATAATATCTTGGCATTGTTTACAATTACAAAATATTTTGTATTTGCTTAACATTCATTATTTATATTTTTTCAACATATGTATAACGTATTGCAATATTAAATTCATTGGGATTTAGAATCTTTTAATTTTCATTAATTGATGAGAGATTTTTAAATCTGAAAAAATTGATTTGACTGGAAATGCTCAAAAATGTATATAGGTAGCAACATTAAGATAATTTTGCCTGAAACTGTTGATATATTCTTAATTTATATCCGATTTTGTATAGATAGATTTGCTATAAAAAATATACAAAAGATTATAGCAACACTTATCTAAAATTCATAGGGTAGGTATTCAATACATTCCGGTATACCTTTCGGATAAAATCAGATTTTTCAAATTTAAAAAACGCTCTCAGTGTATGATAAAATTGAAAGTTTCGAGTTCCCATAGATTTCATATCCTAAAATGATCTACATATACATAATAAATGGAAAAATGTGAGAACTCAAACTAATTCAGGATTTATGCAGGTAAAAACGGCACGAAAACCCGCCAAATGAGTGGCATAGGAGGCTTTGCCTCCTAATTTTTTTCAGTTGATCCTCTTGAAATGGTAAAGGATATCAAATGATAATCGTTGAAACAAAGATTTTATAAAATATCATATATTATGCCGAAAAATAAATTTCAAAAAAAAGAAATTCAATTCCCTCTTTCTATTGGATCCCCTGTTCAGGGCCGTAGCCAGGAATCCAGCTGCTTACTTGAGGGGACCACTATTTTTTAAAAATAAAACAAATAATTAAACATTCATAGATATTTTTTGCTATTTTTATTAAAAATTTATTAATGTAATATGAATACAAAATAATACTATAATATGAATATACAAAATAATACTATAATATTAATATACAAAATAATACTATAATATTAATATACAAAATAATACTATAACATAATAGACGATTTTTATTTTAAATGAATTAAAGAATAAATTGTGTTTTTTTTCCCATGAGCCATCAATACTAAATTTTGCTTATGTTGATCTTTCATAGACTCTCTAGTGCTCGATAGAATTCTCTTTATTGTAGAGAAAGAGGCCACACAAGAAGCCGTTGATACCCTAATGATGATGACTGCTGAGTAGCATTTATATAATTCTTTAAATGCATGATGATATTTTTTTTATACATAATATTTAGGATATTTTCAAAATTATGGGTTTCTTACTTCTGCAGCTAATAATCCTTTAGCTATTTTCATTTCATGATGTAACATTTCCATATTCAAGTTTAATAATGATTCTAATAATAGGGCCATTTTATCCGATATAAAATAATCAAGGTCAAAGGGGGCAATGTATTAAAACATGATAGAAAATTATAGTCATCTTGTGTAAATCAATCTAAAAAACGATCAACACAAAGTAATCAATAATTTCATAATAATTCCTTTTTAAAGAACTCTAATTGGAGTCTTTTTCACAATCAAATTGTAATTTGGTCTCGTTTAAAAAATCTTGAAAATTTATAAGCGTTTTACGTACCCTTGATGATTTGTGGGGAGTGAGATTAAATTTTGCTAAAAGTCAGCCTTAATTCTAATAAAATAAAAAGAATTATCGCTTCTTTTATTTTTTAATATATTGGTAGTGGAATCAATACAAATTTTAGTATCCACTGGTTACCTACTGACTGTAGTTACTTATATAGTGGATCAATTGTTTCATAAATTATAATGGCTAATACAACGTAATTTATATAGATAAAAGACCAAAGGCTTCGACTGAATCATGAGTGGAAACCTCTGAATTAAGAGTTCTATTTGAAAAGTAAAATAATATTTCATCAAAAGCCTCAAAATTCTCATAAATGATGCGAGATGTTTTTAAATGACCAGTCCACCTCTGGTCTAAAAGTCTCTTAAGATATGACCTGTATATTTTCAGGATACTTAAAATGTCTAGAAAATTATACAATGCAATAGATAAATTAAAAAAATTAGAAATGATAACAATATTATACCAATTTTGAACCACAAGATGAAACTTGTGGTTGTAGCATATAAAAGGAACTTTTTTATTAAATTTTTTTTGAAGGATTTGCACTCCTCCATTTAGATTAGACATGACGTTTGCACCATCATATACCTACCTGGCTTATTATATTAGTTAATATTTAACTCGTTAAGTTGCTTTAAAATGCAATCAGTAATACTTTCAGTAGAAAGACACTGTAAAATTAATAATTCCTATTAAATTTTCTTGAATTTCTCCAGAAATAATATAGTGAATAATTATGCTCGGGTTTTCTCAATCTGATGCATATTTTGCCTCATCAGCCTTAAGACAAAAAAAGGAGCTCGCTTTTGTTATATTTATCTGAGATATTTCAAGCACCATATCTTCCATAATAGATATTACTTCCTTTTAAATCTGGGATGATGTATATTGGACATTTTTGGGTATTTCATAATTTTATTTAAACCAGGATCTTTTCGGATGGTGTGTGAAACATTACTATAAATAGTCCAGAAGAATAATTATGTTTTCATCTTTTGCAGGATCCGTAATTTTTGATGAAACAATCCCACGGTATCTCCTGTGTGCTAAGGAATAGTATCAAATCAAATATTGATTTAAGATAGTAAAGATTATATAATCACTTTTATTTTAAAAAAAAACTTCAATGCACAGTTATAAAATAAAAAAAACAATGATGAAAATACTATTTAAAAGAATATTAAAATTATAATTGACATACTATATCTATATTAAACTATATAATTAAAAGAAGATAAATTAAAAAAAATAATTTAAAATAATATATTAGGTATGGTCGGCGGTAATGATCCATGTATGGATACACAGTTGGATCGACAAATCAATTGATATTCTTTGTAGAAGGTAAAAGCCTACTTTTGGATCACCTATGATTAAACGTAACTTACGGTTAATTTGTTGGCTCTGTTTTAAATAACTAATTATTGCGATTGAAACATTATAAATAAAATAATTATCATTGAAATAAGTACAATTTAGTGATTAAGCGCCTATATAATGTCATACACAAACATAAAGATACAAAAATGATAAAATATGAATGAATTATGATTTATTAATGGTTAAAAATAAAACAGGATAGAAAGAAATTAACAAACTTGTCATGTTTTTAAAAAATAATATTAAAATTTAAAAAAATTTTAATTGGGGGGGGGGAATTTATGAAGGCCATTCTTGAAAGTCAAAGATGTTTTCTAAGGGCCAGGTTTGGGGGCCAAAAATTTTTTGGGAGAGCCTGCCCCCCCCTGTGGCTACGGCCCTGCCCCTGTTCTTAAATTTATTATGTAATATCTGATAACTATTAACATGTTGGGATTTATATAATTAGCGGCCATATTAACTAAGTATAAATTTAAAAATAATAAAACAATCTTTATTAAAACTTTTTTAATGACAAAAAACCATCAATGAATTAATTGCATAATTTAATTGATTCTCTTAAATTCAGAATATCAATTTTGTTAATCTATTTGAAAAACATAATAGAATTGGTGTCCTTTTATATTATACGTCTTTTTAAAATAAAATAAATGAAAGCAGAAGAAGAATGGGTGAGTCTTATAATAATAATAATAACTATTAGAATCTTGAAAAGATATGCAATTATATTATTTCATTACCTCATTCTAATGCATCAGAGGGCATTTTTATCCTAATTATTATGGAGAAATACCGCAATAGATTGATTTAGTTACATGAGAGCAGAATTAATCACCGGGAAGGGAAATATTTATTTAAAAAATTATAATATCCCAATATAATTATAATTAGTCTTATAAATATTATAATTATTTTTTTATTAAATTTATCCGTTTTATTAGTAATATAATGTAAAAGATGTAAATATTTTAATTTTATAGAATGCAGTAACAGCATATTTTTAAATTATTATCTTGCCACTTATTAAGAGTCATTTAAAATTTTTGCTATATTTTATTAATGTTTAAAAAATAAATCTATGATTAATTTGCGATTGTTTTCCTTATCAATTGGTTCAAAAACTTTAAAAACAAGGGAACCAAAAAATACTATATAGTTGTGCTTATTTCTATGATAAAATATGAATAAATAAATTTTCAATTCATATAGCTCATCCGAGTTCGTATAATTTCTAATTATAATTTAAATATGTTGCCAGTGGGGACCCGGTTGTAGATCCATAAGGGGCGTTCCCATATACAACATAAAATATATATTACCTAATTCAGTCATTTATAACAAATATTTTACTAGATAGCATATATAACCTAATTCATATCTAAATTGCTTTTCACAAATTCCATTTTTAAAATGACGAACCTAATTTGTTATATTATGATTTTTATCAAAGCTTAGGATTGGAGTTTTTAAAAGGACATCCAATTTATGCACCGGGCCACCAAAAACATTAGCATGGCCTTGTACGTATAAAATTGAAAATAGTATTACATATTGTATTGATTAATTTATTTATGAATAATCCTGAAAATAATAGTAAATAATTATTTTATTTTAATAAGGGAAATTTAAACAAAATTATAACGATATTAAAAATGTCTTATAAATAATAACATAATTTTAAAAAATTTCGATATCAACATATATTATAAATAATATTTAATTTTATAAATTAAAATATTAGATTAGTACAAATTTAGAATAAAAGAAATGATATACATATTTTGGAGAAAATGAATTAAAAGACGTAATATATAATAAACGATTATTTTTTATTTTGAGCACAAGTTTCACATAACAAATTGTGGCCTTTCGTGAGAAATCCTTGATTGATCAGTGACTTTTTACATTTAGTGCATATGAAACAAGGCTTATGCCACTTACTGTTCTCATAAACTAAGGCTTCGGCAGCTTAGATTAGATAAAATTTTTAAAAAATCGGAATAATTTTTTTTAATGTGTAGAATAGAAAATAAAACTAAATATATATGCTTATTTAGGCCCATAGCAAACTAAACCCGATTTAGTCAATATCATCTTTCAAAAAAAGATAAAAAATATCTTGAATCAAAGAATAACATTACAGATGTTTCTACATATTATTTAGCAAATTTTTTGAAAATCGCAAAGTTTGCATTGGGCTCTACATTAATTTGACATGTGTATGATAGGTATATTTCTTATATAAACTTAACAAAAAATCGGTATTTTTTTTAGTTACTAGTGATAGGATGACCACATTTAGCGCATTTGTCCGCAAAAAATTTGGTATAGCACGGTAAGCATACAGGTAGGCCATTTGTTTCTACAACTTGTTTGGTGCCAAGATCGCATTTACATTTCTCGCATTTCAAGCAATCAGGATGGAACGAGTTCTGATGAAACTCTACAGAGTTTTCCATTATTGGCTAAAAAAAATTAGTTAAAATTGGATTCATAACATTTATAGTCGAAATTTTAGGCCATGTAGGATTTTAATTTTTCAAGTAGTGAGGGTCATATAGAACAGGTTCGGACCGTTGCACAAACTAAAAAATTTCAAATAAGTTGTCGGCTGCATCCAGATTGAGTTTAGAAAACAAATAGAATCGTTCTTTTGGATCTGGCACAATCTTGATAAAATGATCAGATTCCATTTGGTTTCTAAACTCGATTTGACGGCCGACTACTTTTTAAAAAAATGGGATTGGGATTGATCTTGATACACCAGGTGTTTACTAGCCATGCCATTTTAATTGCATAATTTATTACAATATGAAATATAAAGATATAAAATATATTTATATACCAGGTTCAAATAAAAGATCGTTTTGACATATTTATAACTCTGAAACATAACACTTGTTCTTATGAAATTTTGTATTTTAATAAAGAATATATGGAACTTCTTCAACACTTTTTCGTATTTTTGATTAAGCCATTTTTTAGAAAATCCTTAGGAATAATAAATCTCCGGGTACAGATAACATTACAGGAGAACATCTGAAAGCAGCTCCCTTAACGATCTCTCGGTTCTTACTGCCTTTGTTTAACAAGATATGGTTGACTGGGATGATGCCAGCGGATTGGAATAAGACTATCTTTTGCAACTTCCCGAAAATTCCAAATCCATCTAAATTCAAGGATTATAGAGCCATCGCTCTCACGTCTATTGCATCAAAAGTTTTTATGGTTCTTTTAAAAAATCCCATTCTTTCCTCTACACCAAACCTTTTGTCTAAATACATTTGTGCTTACCGTCCAGGTAGAAATATAAACGAACCAATATTAGCTTTAAAGATTATAATGCAGAAATGTCAGAAGTATAAATTACCTTTTTACTTTATTTTTATCGACTTTAAACGTGCTTTTGATAATGTTAACCATGATGCGCTTTGGAAGATTTTAACCGAATGTGGCATTGACTCTAATATTATAAGGATCCTTAAAACACATTATAGTAGTCTTTTTGCCTCCTTAAAAATCAATAATAAGGTTTCTCCATCTTTTAAGACAAAAAAAGGGGTAAAACAAGGATGTGTTCTTTCCCCGCTTTTGTTTAATATACTTATGAATAAAATCATAGTAGATACGCTGGCTACTGCGAATCTCTTAGAATTAAGTTCCAGTCAGTCTTTTTTCTTGGAAAATAGGGTGATATCTTATGCTGACGACATAGTTTTGATAACAAAAAGTTTGGAAGAAACCCAAAATTTGATCGCTATATTAAACTCCTTTAGTCTTAAGGTTGGCTTGGATATTAACTTTGATAAAACAGTGATAATGCCCTCGTCTCAGGCGCCTCTTCTGAATAATTTGGTGGTTGGGGGAAAGTTGGTTAAGGTGGTAGAATCTTTTAAATATCTAGGTGTAACCATTGACAATAAAGGTAGTTGTAGAGAAGAACTAAAAATTCGTTTACAAAATGCTAGGGCGGCTTTTTATAAATTTTTTAAACTGTGGAAAGCTAGAGAGATATCCGTTTTCACAAGACTCTGTATTTTCAACTCAACCATCATCCCGATTCTCTTTTATGGCGGTGATACATGGGAGATTACCAAGACCGAAACTAGGAAATTACAAACGTTTGTAAATAAATGCCTTAGAATAATAAATGGAATCTTCTACCCTAATATTATCTCAAATGAAAATCTTTGGAAGAAGTCTAACCATACCCAGGTTCACGTGTCTTTAAAAAAGAAACGTCTTACTTTCTTTGCCCATATTTTAAGAAATCATAGCAACAATAGCCTTGTTATTGATGCCATTAATTGGTTATACTCCTTTAATGGGAAAACATATTGCAAATATAAGACATTATGGTTCTACTGAGCCTTGAAGGACATAATGGATCTAAACTTAAATTTGAAGCAATTCCTAAGGCTAAATAAAAACAAAAAATCTATAAAAAAATTACTAAAAATTAAATCGAACTACCTAAACCTCTCATAATTTTTTTTTTTTCTGTATTTTTCAGGTTATTTAATTTCTTCATCTCTCAATTTTACCTCTTGATTTTGTCTTTCACCTTTTCTGTGAATTACTTACTTCACTGACTTCAGCTTTTATTTATCTTATTGACTTAATATACTAATTTAAATCAGTCCGTCCCATATTTTTAATTAAATATACATTGTACTTCTATGCATTCCCATTATATGAGTTAAGATATATTAATGACATTTTTGAGGAATAGTTTGTGATTTGCGTTTCCTATGTGGGCTAAAATTTTTCTTTGGCTCTTTTTAACTTAGTTTTTGGGTATGTTTTTGTAATTTTTCCATAGTTTTTGAGTTTGTAATGTTTCTGGGGTAGAGGGTATCCTCTTTTGTTTATGAGACATTTATTTGTTTATAGTCATCTGTTTATTTTATTTATTTATTTTTCTCTTCCCTAGTTCCTTTGGTCTCTCTAACATGTCCGCCCCCTCCATAGACAAATATAGGAATAGTGGATATGTCCTCAGTCTAGAAATTACCGATTTCTCTCTTATCTTTCATACTTTTTGTATACATTTAAAAGTTTCCACTCGCCTTTGTATTCAAATTTCTCTTCTTCTTTGCAACTACTTCCATTATTAAGTATATTTCTTAAATACATTGTGACTACATTTACCCTGTTTCTAACTATAAGTTTTTGAAGTGATTACTTGTTTTTCTTTAAAAAAAATAAGGAATAAAAAAAAAAAAACTTTTTCTTTTATTATCGCTAGTTAACTAGATCTAACGTCTTTAACTTTTTCAAAACATTACATCTAAATTGAAGTCTACATATAATACATTGGTCGTTGCCAGTGTTTCTTCTTGTTTTTATTTTTATGATCTTTATTTATTTAGGAGTGGCAAGAGTTTAGCCTTGTTTTACTCCTTTTTACCTTGGAGGTAGGGGATTTTCTTTGTCATTGATTTCGAAGCACAACATGTATTAGTGGTTTTCTGGATCTGGAAGATGTTGGGGTCTTCCCTTTTCTGACAAAACTGCATGGTTAACATTATCAATAGCTCTGTTATAATTCACAAATGTAAAGCAGAAGGGGGTTTGTACTTAGTTTTTCTGCATGATTATTTTTCTAAATTAATTTTTGGCTCCAGTATTTTCTTTTCTTGGCCTGTATATACTTATGTATTTTTTATTTGGGGGGGGGGAGTTTTCGGTGTGGGTGATATGCTTTTTTTTCCATGCTATAGGATGTGATGGCTATAGCTCAATAAGCCTTAAATTTCTGTGGTCTTAGTTTTTTGGGTAGTTACTTAGGTAGGATTTTGATCCATCCCACTGCAGTAGTTCCGCTCTCCCATATTCTATTAAATGAGGGCAAATAGGTAGCGATATTGTTATAGGTGCTATTTATTTTTTTTTGGTTTTTCTGCTGTGATATTATCTGGCCCTGGAGCTTTGCTTTTTCTTAGTGTTTTTTTCTTAGTCTTTGTTCACTTGTTATTTCATTTATGGAGAAACCAGTCGACAGGGGGGTGGCGAGGTTTGCAAATATGTTTTGTTGGTAGAGTCTTTCCGTGAGTGATAGACTATCATATAACAATCAAGCCAAAATGCCTTTTGTTAATCCTGGCCAACAATTACTTTTCCATTTCCTAAAACTTACGGAGCTGGTTCCTATTTCTGCGTCATAGTTTCCTTTCTCTCATATCTTTATCATTATCAAAGACCTTTTTCGCTATATAATCTATCTATCACTCCATAGAGTATTTTGTTTCTCTGGAAAAAGAAAAAAATAACCGTTTGTTGTGTGGTGTTCGTTGCTGGATAGTCATAAACCGATTACTGACTAGTTTTTGCCTATTCACTGGAATCTTCACCTATTTTAAACAATTTGTGGTAAACCCATTTAGCTTTTCCTTATTTTCATGAATAAATTCTAATCTCAATTGATATGAACACATTCTCAATTATTGTTAGTAACTATCAAGGCTTACATTAGATGTTAAACTTAAAATTAGCCACCACCCACCCTTAAAGTAATTAAATTATTTTGGCAGTTCATGGGTATAGGCTTTTGTTTTGCCCATTTCTTTTTGTTGATTAGCCTATAGACGTTTAAGCAACAGTTCTCGGACGCGTACAAGTACGTGCGGCTTGCCCACAAACGTGTGAAGGGCTCCTCATTTTTTTTCTCCCCTTAATTAACTATCCAGTTTGATGGATTTTTGAGGAAAACCTAGCGTAGCTCTGTTGTATCCACAACCAGAGGGCGAAAACGCTTTTATCACGTATCACGTAAAAAATAAATACTTAAATTTGACAAAATATAATTTACGACCTTGAGTTTTTCTTTTTCAAAATAGGACGATGGATTCCCATTATGTTAGACTATTTAAAAATTTTTCCATAATCATAAAAATTATGATCATTCATACTTTAAGATCTTTATTTAAATACAATTATATATAAATTTCAAAATATATAAATTTACTTAACAAAACATTTTGTATAACATTTAGAATTTCATATTTCACTAATCGAACGCTAATTTGTTTTTTCTTTTGAAATTAAGGTCATACTTCACAAATTTTTTTGCAAAGACTGTGATCCTTTTATATAAACCTAAGTCTTTAATTCGTTTCACACTTAATAAAATAAAAGATTTGGATCAGAGGTCTTGTTTTAGAATATGAATCTATTTCAAAGCCCTTTATATCTCGTTTAACTCCTCGAATATTCCATTTTTTCTTAGAAAATTCAGAAATCACACTTGGTACCTCTTCCCGCAGAATAATTTTATTAGTATAAGATCTTTTTTGAAAACATTTTTAATTTAAAATTCTATTTTTTTTGGATGATTAGGTTTTTAATAATCAGATGGTTAGGGAAAAATTTTGAAAATGCCGAGTGCTCGACTATATCTCAAAATAGTTGGAACTTTATAATTGAAGGCCTTAAGTTAGTGAAATGTTAGCATTTTAAAAAGTAA